CCAAACCCCCCCACCAATCTTCAAGTGAAATTCATATCACTTTAACTTCAGGAACTGAATGCATCTGTTTTGCTTTTCTCTATTACTTGTAGATGCTGGAAACACGGGTGTGCAGGGTTATCAAATAACATCCAGCAATGGAGGTTTGAATAGTTTTCAACATCCACCCATTCCTCAAGGGCACCCAAGCCTTCATCATCTGCCACCTAATTTTCAAGGAATGAGAGGACAGGCTATCACCTTCCCTCCACAAATGACAGCATCCTCACGCAGACACCTACCAAATAATTCCTCCAACATCACCACCAACCTATTGCAAGGCGCTGTAGAGGCAGGACCAATATATATGCCCTCGCTACCAACTGGCTTTGGGTTGTACAGACCTCATCAAAGGGCTATTGTGCTTGAACGGAATACTAGACATCGGAACCTTCCTAATATGAGAGTTCTGCCAGAAGATGTAAACTTTTTATCTGTTTGACCATGTCCCATCACTTCGTTTGTCATATTATTGTCTAATTTGATGCATTTGAAATTATGGGATTGAATGCTAGTGGGATTATCTTTTCTTGGTTGTTATATGTAGGGAGTGGCAATGCTGGATATTCCAGTCTACCATGAAGTTAATAATCCCCCCGTTGATCAGCACAGAGATATGCGTTTGGACATAGATCACATGTCCTATGAGGTGAGCAATAGGTTTCTCGATTATATGTACTGTCTAACATTTGTTGTGATGGTTGATGAGTATATTCTAATTCTCTACTTTATTTTTATGTTAGTTACTAGTTCGGTATTATTGTCTACTCCGCAATTTGTTTGCATAACATCTAGTAATTAAATTTCTGCAACTTTAAAATTCTTTACCAGGAGCTTCTTGCACTGGGGGAGCAGATTGGCAATGTAACAACTGGATTATCAGATGAAATAATCATTAGCCATTTGAAAACAAGAATATTTTCGCCCACTGGGATTCCTTGCACTCTGGAAAGCGCTGCATGTTTGGATCACGAAACTGATTTCTGTGTCATATGCCAGGTATTAATGCTAACTCAATACATTGAGTAGGAGTAGGTTTGCGTATGAATTTCAGGGGTTACTGTTGGGATGGCTCTGCTTTAGTCTCCTTTTCTCGGACCCATTTTATTTTAGGTCCTGTTTAAGCAGACTAACCAAGACAAAGGTTTAATCTGTTGCACAGACAACCAGATTAGTAGGTTCGAGTTTGTTATGAACTTCAACTCCATTCTAAATCAACTTCCTTGGAGATGTTCTTATATCTCTTAGTTTATGTTCTTATAGTTATTCTTGTTTTCACTCTCGTAATCATCAATCTTCTATTCACAATTTTTTTGTAATGTTAGTAGTAGGTTCTAAATCCTATTTAAAAGCATTACCCCTCCAATTCCCCCCAAAAATATTACCTATCTCTTTTTTTCTCTCTCATTCCGACCTTGGTTTATTATCTTATAAAGTTAATTTATAAAGCTAGAAACTAACGACAAGATTGTTAGTTACCAATTTAGGATTAGAAAAATATTGAACATTTAATTAGAAACACCATGGTTAAAGAAATTTGCTTGATGCTTCATTTGTTAACTAAGTCAAGTGTGGGAGAGAAATTGTATTAATCAGAAATATGAAGTTGGCACAACTGTCCCCTTATAATGCTTTATCTTCCTCCTAATAAAGAAAATAGTGATTTTGCAAATTCTTCCACGCGGAAAACTTTTTTTTGCGCTTGGAATTGATTTTGTCTTCTTTTCCTATATTTTCTTGTAACGCTAAAAGTAACAGTATACAATATTTTGAGAAAGAATAGGTTGATATCCAATTATAAGAACGAAGTGTAGTTGCAAGATTATACTTCGAAAACTTATACTACGATCTTAGGTTGTATCTATTTAAGAGAGAGCTTACACTGTCGGCTGAATTGTGACAACTGTTCGCTAGAGGATGCTTTGGATTCCTTCCTAAGTCTTTATAAGCTTGCCTACCATCTCAGTTTGATGACATCATTAATTTTTGGATTTCCACCAGCCAAATTGTTGTGATGTTTCTTTTCCATCCTTTTCTGTTCACATAGAATGCTGTGTATTGTATTTATGTTGTCTGGATTTGTAATGCATGATCAGTATCCAACTATGCGCTGTTAATTCTTGGTTGTGCTTTCCTCTGAACCTACATTTCTTTGCTTTTCCTTTCTTTTGATATCTTTATATCTCTGATGGCTTGCAATGTATGTTATATCTTCTCTTTCAGGCTGATTACGACGACCAAGAAAAGATAGGAACTCTTGACTGCGGACATGAATATCATGCGGAGTGCGTAAAGAAGTGGTTGGTTGTGAAGAACACTTGTCCCATCTGCAAATCCACAGGATTGTCAATAGCAGGAAAGAATTTGTGAATACAGGGAGTTGGTGGATGAATAATTTGGAAGAGTGGGACATTTTGCTTCTCTTGCTAAATATTTATTCTCTAACAAGAGGAAACGTTCGTGAACCTGTATTATATATATATATGTTGTATATACTTGGCTAGATTTGAGTAGATGTCCAAAGAATGTACATGGTGACCTTAATTTTGTCACCTGAATTTGTACAGACCTCTTAATTTTGTTGAACCGTGCATAATTGTGAATTTGTACAGACATGTAACATTTTTTTGGTTCGACCACGCCTGATTATTGTATCCTTTATGGATTAATGTGATGTGTTGTGTATGATGGAGATATCCAGAATTAAATGGTGGATTCAAGTTAGCAGATTTGTACATGTTTGCCTATGATGATTTTTGTTAGCATTGGGTTCTCTGGAGGCAGTTTCGCGCCTAGCCTAGCATAGTTCAGGTGCTGTATGATCTATTTTATTGCATATTTTTGTTAGCATATATATATAGAGTGATTTTAAAGCCGGAAGGCTTGGGAAATTTTTAATTTAGTTTTATTTTTTGTGTTAATTATTTTTTGTTAAACATAAGAACGTTACATATTTTTGAGTTGGGATAATAGCATTTTTGGTTCCTCAATTATTAGTAAATTCTAATTTTTGTTCCTACGATATATGTTTCAGCACATTTAATCTATTCCTTCTTCAGCACATTTATTTGAATTAATTTAAATGTGTGCTTTTGAGCCCTTTGTGTTGGAAATAATGCTATCTTTAGACTATTTTAGAAATATATTATCCTCAAATATGGAATAATAATACAAGCATTACATAACGCATAGGAAATTCAATGGTGGAAAATAATTTGTGAATATCCTCACGGAAAGGGATCAAAAGTGCACATTTTAAGTAGTGGAACATTTAATGTGTTTAATCGAATAATAAAAGGATTACAATCACACATTACAAATACCTTAGAGACCAAAAATTCTTTGGAGTTTGTTTAGTCGGTTAAAATTAAGGGAAATTTTCGTTCCTATACTATATAGGATACCAAATATGTTCATAGTTTGCATATTACCCGCCATTTTAATAGTACTTCTACAAAATATAGACAATTCATTAAATAAGGAATCATTGTAGCTGTAGGCTTCCTTATTTAGGCTGCTAATATTGGGGAATTAAATATTCCCACTCTCCCAAGTTTCTCTCTCCAAATCTCACCACCTCACTCACGTATCAAACCACACCCCACGATTTCCTCTTCAATCACCCACGATTTTCTCTTCTAAAACCAGCGAAAATCTGTAACCCCTCCACCATTGACAACCATTAAAAAGCTTTGAATTCGAATTTGGGTTTTCAAAAGACATTGTTTGTTTGGATTGGATGTTGTTGCAAAGAATTGAGAATTCTCTCTACGTCTCTCTCTATCTCTCAATCTCAAATTTCAGTAATATAAGAGGAATGGAAAAGAGAGCAGCAATTCCATCATTGACAGCCATTAAAAAGCTTTGAAGCTTTGATTTGAATTTGGGTTTTCAAAAATCATTATTTGTTTGGATTGGATGTTGTTGCAAATAATTGGGAATATGGTTAGGAGTTTATATCTCAATTTTGAGGGGTTTTGGTGAAGATTAGACTTGGTTTTGACTGAATTTCATATTGAAACTCGAAGAAGAAGAAGAAGAAGAATAAGAATAAGACATGACATACATTATATTGCAGAAATTCTAGAAAAATCGTAGAAAAATTGTATTCTATTGTATATTTATTTTTCTTTTATTCATTTAACCATTGTATGAAAGTTGAACAACATTGTAAAAAAATTGTATTTAAGTGGTATTATATTGTAGTTGTATATATCCGAAAAAATTATAGAAATCAAATACATTGTCAACGAGCATTGTCCTCCAATGAAAATTAGGAACGATATGGGTTTTCGTGTATACATGGAGACGAAAAAGGAAAACAAAAACTTAGGATCATATCCGCTATGTATAACTGTTCACAATTTCAATATGGAATTGAGTATCACCAATGAGAACACAGTTGCATGTTTGTGCTTGTCGCACCTCCTTTTTACCGCGCCCGCGGGGCGCGTGGGGAGTTTTCTCCAATTTAAGGAC